CACGGAATGTATGTAAAGGATACACAGAATGTATGTAAAGGATACACAGAATGTCTTTGGAGACATTCAGATGTCTTTGAAGAATAAAGCCAAGATCCAGATGAAATAGGGGTGGGGGCTATAGCAAAAATAACATTCCATCCTGTCTTTTTTCCAAGAAACAGTAGTGTGTTTCGCTTTGTTTCCCCCTTTGATTTGTAACTTGAAGTTGGCATCGGAGAATAATAAAAACAATAACAGCACTTTAGAGTCTATAGTCTACATTCCTATACATTAGCTTGAGTTCCAAAAAAGTCACTTAGTCAACATATTTTCAAGAACCTTAGTCTTTGTTTTAAAAAAAATTCTGATAATTCTCATTATCAGGAAAAATAGCCAAGAGATACATCAAATTAAAAGTAAAAAATAATTATGTAATAAATTGATTTTGAGGTCGAATTCCAACCCATCCCTTATCTCATGTTATCTTCATATACGAGACCGCTACACTTTAACTGCATGTGTATTTGCTATTAACAAAGACCTTATTGTGCTTTCTAATCTATTTTTACTCACAAAAAATGTTTTTGTATTCTTGATGATTCATTGTTTTAAATTGTAGGATTTTTTAAAATTTATTTATTAAAACCATATGAGACTATTTAGAGAAATCCTGAGCACAGCCTCCAGTCCTGTTTGTTCATTACAAAGCATACATTTGCATTTTATTATCATATTCTACAAAATACATGGTTATCTTTCATCAAAAAAAAACTGACAAAGGACACAATTCAGACTTACTTTATTGGTCCTAAGATAATGGGAAATTGACTTAACTCTCATCTCTGTCATAACTTTTGGCCGGAATCTTCTGGGCTGGTTCTACTGGTCCTAGTCCCACATAAAGTGAAAAGGTGAAGACTAGTAAACCTATCCAGAAAGTCAACATGGCATTAACGTGAAGCCAGGTCAAGAGTGTGTGTGTGCATGCTTGCGCGTGTGCATATGAGCACATGTGGTCGCAAGTTTACTATAAATTTGAATCACAGGACCCGCACCTAATAAACTTTAGGACTTTGCTATTCTTTTTTTTCTTTTATTGAAATGTATCTTTTTCTCACATCCTAATTACAGTTTCCTCTCCTCTGCTCCTCCCAGTTCTTCTCTACCTCCCTCCCATCCAGATCTACTCTCTTTCTGTTAGAAAATAAACATGTTCCTAAGAGATACTAATAAAATAAAATAACAGCACAAAACAAACAAAACAAACAACCAGAAGGGAAAAGAACTGTTTGCTCTTCCTTTAATACTCAGTTTTATACTTTAGTCTTCCATTTTGTTTTGAATGTGTTTTTCTTTCTATTTTTTTAGACTCTCTTCTTCTCTAATTGGCTCTCCCAGCACTCTGGTTCCTTTTCCTTAGGTTCTACTAGAGATCTGGTTCCTGAAGCAAGGTGCAAAGACAATTCTATGCTTCTTTATCACAGAAGGTGTTTTGCAAATTCCTCAGCATTAATAAAAGATTGAGGCAGAGGTTCACAGTACAACCTTTATAATAGTATCACTTACTATTTGGATTTGGATTAAAAAATCATGTGACAAATTGATCGCAAAGTTAAATCCCAATCCACTGTCACCTAAGTGTGTTCTGCCAACTGAGGGCCAGAAGTAAACTCACAGCTGAGCTGCATCCTGAGCTATATTCTGCACTTGCCAGACCAAAGCAAGAAGGAAAAGCACGCTTCATCCAAGCACAGGTCCAGAACACACTGAGCACAGCAATCCCTGACCATTCCTAATTAAAGAAAAGGAACTAGGGAAAATTTTTCTCACCAAATGTGGGAAGCTGGCCCTTATTCATGATTTTTATAAACCCAGGAAGGACCCCAAAGAAAAGTTACCATCTAGTCTTGTAGCTCCTTGTAGACTCTTTCACTGGGTTAAGAGAGATCACCAGATAATGAGAAGAGAATTAATCCCAGCTGGAGATCTACTGCTGCACAAGGACTTCCCAGAATTGCCGCTGCCATCTGAAAGCGACGTCTATCTCCTCTGTTTTCTCCTGCACCTCCACCCTCCCCTAAATTCCTTTCCTTGGGTTATTGAATGTGAAGATGTGGAAACTATACTACAGAGAAAAAAGGGAGAGAGAACGTGAAGAGGTCTCCTACAGATCATGAGTTCATCTTCCTTCTCTCTCCCTACACACTGTAAGACTATGACTTGGGGGGTAGAAGAGAGAAGGAGGTGAAACTAAGAGACAGAAGGCTTGAGTCTTACCACTAATACTGCCTAGTTATTACCTACCTATGGGTAGTCATTGTCTTTCATCTGTAGAATAGGGAAAACAC